CTTTGTGCAGCTTAAATTTCTATCAAAAATGGCATGGTCCTTCTCATTGATAACTCTGTCTCTGAGACTTTAAGTGCACCCTCTTGGCCTTTGGAGTGATGATTCTTGGCCTTTGGAGTGACGAACCGCTTTCAGTTTTTCTTGAGCTGCAATTAATATCCTGTATTCAAATCCCACTTTTCTATGAATCTAGGAAGTCTTGATGACACTTATCTTTTAAGCAACCTAACACTAATATTGATTACAGATGTCACTGGATTAGAGCAGTCCAGTATCAAGTGGCCATCCCACCCTCCAAAATAAGGAGACTGACAACAATAACTTGGGTTCAAATTGGGCATTTTTAAAATTAAAATTACCTATTTAACGTTTTCTATTCTAACTAGGGTGTGTCTTGAACTTGGTGAGGGGCAAAGCCAAGGTAGCATCCATACCTGGACTACTCCCCGGCGACTTGGGTGAAACACCTGGGTCTCCTGTAAATTTACAACTGGGCAACCTCTAAGGAAACCTGGAGAAGCCTCCACCAAAGTTATTGAGGCCAGATTCTCACCAATTTAAGGCTAGTCGATTTCACCTCACCCGGTCCAAGTGATTGGCAGGTGAGTGTTTTAGCTACAGGCCTTAACCCCGAAGGGGGTGCCTTGTGTGAACGCTGAATATTCGATCTTCTTCTCTATTTACGCTAACCTATTTAAATGCTACACCATCCTAGCTAGCCCCTAAAAGACAGTATAGGGTAGGCGAAAAACCTTCCTAGAACATAGGAGAGGTACCCGGTCCCAGCTGGCAACCAAAATGGGCAAGTGTGGTGGGTCGCCAAAAGGGCTCAGAATGAGCCAAGGGGGCTGAGCTATGGGCATAGTACAGCTCCACCCCCTATTCTGGATGGTTCCATGGAACTAACCATTCTCCCTCGGGGGAGTAGGGGGAGGCAAATTTCTCTCCATCCCTACTGCACAGGGATGGAAAACTCCTTATTTGAGAATCAGCTCGAAACTACAGCCAGAATTTGTGGTAACACAACAGGTTAAACCGTTGAACTGTTGAATCTGCTGACCCAAAGGCTGGAAGTCCAAAGCATGGGTTGGGGTGAGCTCCCGCTGTTAGCCCTAGCTCCTGTCAACCTAGCAGTTTGAAAACATGTGAATGTGAGTAGATTAATAGGTATCGCTTCTGCGGGAAGGTAAGCACCCATGTGTCCATGCCAGAAACACAACAGGAGGTGTCTACTGACAACAGGCTCCTTGGCTTGGAAATGGAACATGAGTACCTCCCCATGGCCAGAGTTGAGCACTGACTCCAGAAAGCCGGAGATAAAAGGGGAAGCCTTTACCTTTGTTCTGTGTATTTGTATGTCACTGCTATTCATTGTATTAAGGCATTAAATATGTGTATCTTGTAATCCACTCTTGAGTCCCTTCGGGCAGATAGAGTGGAATATAAATAAAGCGTATTTTATTTATTTATTTATTTATTTATTTATTTATTTATTTATTTATGACATTTCTGCCCTGCCTTTCTCACCCCGGAGGGGACTCAATGTATTATTATTGTTATTACCAGGATTGTGTGCAGCTGAGTGTCAGCTGCATTAAGATCACTCTGACCAGAAGGTCATGAGTTCGAAGCCAGCCCGGGTTGGAGTGGGTTTCCAACCAATTGTGTAGCCTGTTGTCGACCTTTGCAACCCGAAAGACAGTTGCATCTGTCAAGTAGGAAAATTAAGCACCACCTTAAAGTGTGGGGAGGCTAAATTAACTGATTTATGAGGCCATAAAGAAGACTCCAGCAAAGCGTTCCAGCGGGGAAGCATGCGGGGAATGCGGAAGTGCTTCATCAACGTCGCAGATGGACGGTGAAAGCAACAGCTCTCCTGGCGGCCAGAAAAAGTTAAATAGCCTCTGTATATGTCTGTATATGTTTGTATGTCAAAATTGGCATTGGATGTTTGCCATATATGTGCACACTGTAATCCGCCCTGAGTCCCCTGCGGGGTGAGAAAGGTGGACTATAAAAGCTGTAAATAATAATAATAATAATAATAATAATAATAATAATAATATCAACTGAGATAGTATATGCAGTTATTTTTTTGTCAACCTTTAATTTCCATAAACATTTGGCTTTAACAGACAATGTATTCCTTTTATATGGTTAAAAACTCAGTGGTTTTTCAGAAAAGTTCCAGGTAAATGTGGGATTCCATAGAACTTTATTATTATATCTAATAAACAGAACTATAATGGTGGACAAGACACCTTAAAAGATGAGTCGCTCAGCATCCCATCGTCTCTTGCAATAGCTTCAGGCAAACATTTCATATGCTGCTCAGCTATTTCCAGTGGTGAACAGCTGGAGAGCAAGCACAGAAGGGATAATGGATATGTTTGGAAAATGAGAACTGAAGGAAGGGAATTTATTGGAATGGAAGAGATGTGGAGGAGAGAGATAAGACCTGCCTATCACAAACTTTATTCTGGGGGCAGAAAAGTTGCCCAACCAAGTATGTTGTGGTTCTCTTAATGCAGTATCTGTATTTATATCTCCCCTATTTCCAATTTTGCAACTAAAGGCAGCTCACAACAGTTTAAATACACAGCTCATAAAAGTTGAAAAGCAATTAAATCATTATGATGCTTTCATGGCATCTCTATTATAATCAAGGGAGCTGAAAATTGCTTCACTTTGGCTGCCTTGTGCTTTACCTAAAAGTCTTGAAACTGAAATGAAAAGTTGATGTCATCACCTTAAAACTTAACCATCCATGCTTAAGGAAGGAACTTTAAAAAACAACAACAGTTATCTCAGTACTACTTTTCAATATATACAATAAATCATGATTTGTGCTATAAAATCTGAAATGCATGAATTATATTTAATCATAATTCATCAGATATTTTTATCCAGTCTTACTTACTTAGGTGATCCCTCGCTGGACGAGTAGGATAGTCTTCCAGGATCAGTATTCTTGTGGGTCCGTAGGTGGCTGTGGAGCCCTATTCTTGACCTGCATCTTCTCCCGCAGTGAGGGCATTGGTTTCCAGGTGGAAGGCGGTCTCGGTCGGGGTTGGCTTGACGCGCCTTCCTCTTGGCACATTTCTCTCTTTCACCCTCCATTCATGCCTCTTCAAATTCTGCAGCACTGCTGGTCACAGCTGACCTCCAGCTGGAGCGCTCAAGGGCTAGGGCTTCCCAGTTCTCAGTTTTTCTCAGAGTTTTCATGGTTGGCTTTGAGCCCATCTTTAAATCTCTTTTCCTGTTTTCCAACATTCCGTTTTCCGTTCTTGAGTTCAGAGTAGAGCAACTGATTTGGGAGACGGTGGTTGGGCATCCGGACAACGTGGCCAGTCCAGCGGAGTTGATGGCGGAGGACCATCCCTTCAATGCTGGTGGTCTTTGTTTCTTCCAGCACACTGGCATTTGCCCACTTGTCTTCCCAAGAGATTTGCAGGATTTTCCGGAGTCAGCGCTGATGGAATCGTTCCAGGAGTTGTATGTGACATCTGTAGACAGTCCACATTTCGCAGGCATATAGCAGGGTTGGGAGGACAGTAGCTTTATAAACAAGCACCTTGGTATCCCTACGGATGTCCCGGTCCTCAAACACTCTCTGCTTCATTCGGAAAAATGCTGCACTCGCAGAGCTCAGGCGGTGTTGTATTTCGGTGTCAATGTTGACTTTGGTGGAGAGGTGGCTGCCAAGGTAGCGGAAATGGTCAACATTTTCTAATGTTACACCATTAAGCTGTATCTCTGGCATTGGAGAGGGATTGGCTGGTGTCTGCTGGAACAGCACTTTGGTTTTCTCGATGTTCAATGACAGGCCGAGCTTCTCGTATGCTTCTGCGAAGGTGTTTAGAATGGCTTGTAGATCTTCTTCTGAATGCGCACAGACGACATTGTCATCAGTTCTATAACTCCAGTATGCTTGGAGTTTTATCAAATCACGCACAAACAAACTAGATGTTTACTTTTCCGAACATATGTTGTGAGGACATTTCCACTCCAGTTTATCTGTGGTAGGAAGTCTTAGTAGCAACGTCAGACACAGAACTTATGATCTTGTGCTTGTTTAAAATTTGGCAGTTGGCAAGCAACAATAATTCAAATTGTGCACTCAAAACGATGAGAAAGAATACTAAGAGATGCTAAATGAAGAATGATTCCTAAGTTGAAGCCATGCCATGAGCACCGGGACTGTGGTGCAGCTGGCTGGGAGTCAGTTGGATTAAGATCACTACTGAGTTCGAAGCCAGGCCAGGTCAAAGTGGGCTTCTGACCAATTTGCGTAGCTTGTTGTCGACCTTTGCAGCCCGAAAGACAGTTGCATCTGTCAAGTAGGAAATTTAGGTACCACTTATGGGGAGGCTAATGTAACTAATTTACGAGGCCATAAAAAACTCCAGCAAGCATGCAAAGAATGAGGAAGTACTTCATCAGTGTCACAAATGGATGGTGAAGAGACAGCTCCCCGGGTGGCCAGAATACCCTCATGAAAAAGCTGGATTGTTAAATAGCCTCTGAGCGTCTGCCTGTATATGTTGTGTGTCTATGGCATTGAATGTTTGCCATGTATATGTACATTGTAATCCACCCTGAGTCTCCTACGGGGTGAGAAGGGTGGAATATAAATACTGTAAATGAATAAATTGTGAAACCAGGACTTCTTACACTCCAATAAAGGTACAAAAGAACAACATTATCCATAGGGTTGTTGTAGGTTTTTTGGGCTATAGGGCCATGTTCTAGAAGCATTCTCTCCTGACATTTTGCCTGCATCTATGGCAAGCATCCTCACAGGTTATGAGGTCACACACAGACTTCATAACCTCCGAGGATGTTTGCCATAGATGCAGGCAAAACGTCAGGAGAGAATGCTTCTAGAACATGGCCATATAGCCTGAAAGACCTACAACCGAGTGATTCCAGCCATGAAAGCCTTCGACAATACATTGAACATTATCCATTCTTTAAAAAAGGAGATTCATCAAATGTACCTGAAAGTAGGTGGTGCTTCTGCCCATCCAAACAAGGAATGCGTGTCATAGTGCCTTCCCAGATAGGTTGAAGAATCTGGACATAAAGTGCTATGAAACAGGGACGAATCAGAAATCCCTGCAAATGGAATTGTAAAAAGAGGAAGGAAAAGGAAAATGGTTCATCTACTCACATGTGCATTCCATATAAAATATGCTGTTCATAGGACATAAACATTCTGGGTTGCCTAAGAAATGTGGTTATTTAAATATACCTTGATTTTTCCTGCTTGTCGAGTAATAAGTTATTTAGATTGCAATCATCAAACACAGATTATTCATGATTTATGTGTAAATTCAGTGCTCTCGAACAGACACATACATATCAAACTAGTCCAGGTGATCACTACTGGTAGCTGCCAAAATCCGGAGCAAGCGGGGGGGGGGGGGGGGAAGCAAAAATAGCACAGCTATCCTATACTTATACATGTCTGCCAGTATTTTTATTTAAATGTACAACTGGTTATAAACACTCCCTTAACACTTGACAGATTGGTTTATCACAAGGGAGTCCCTCAGTTCTCTGTAACTCTAGCACGTTTCGGATGCAAGTCCTCACTGTAGCTCCCACGCTGTAGTCTTTTTTAGTCTTTGCTATAGCTTCTGTCTTGATTTTATTTTCTACTCTCTCTAGCCATTGTTTCATTATATTTATTTTTTTATATACCAGTCATATTATCAAGTGGTCTAAACTGAACTAAGCAACCTAACAAAAGCACTATACAAAATATTTGTGGAACTGCATTTCTTGAATAAGGACATTGCCGCAAGTCTGAAATTCGGTATTGGGAAACCAGTTTTCCTGTAATACATGATGACTATAGACTAGACAACTATCTTGGAAGAACAGGAATCCTTGTTGTGGAAACACACATACTGAGTGGCAAAAATTTTGAAAGCAAATTATTTGTATTTGGAATACATCCATTCATCATCTGTTTCTACATAATTTTCACTGGCAGTTCAGTTGCAGTTGGGAGAAAAAGCTTCTGCATTCAGTTAGAAAGCAAAGCAATACTTCAAGTGATACCTAATTACTGTCCAAATAAGTTATGTAACATAAAAACTGAAAAGCTAGTAAGAATTATTTCAAATATTGTTATTTTAAATATCCCATAATGACCTTCACTCTGCTCCTGGGCTGCTTATTTATACAACCATATACAACTTCCACCTCTGCTTTGTGTGAGTTATCCAAAAATATGTTTTGGTTATAATATCACATACATTTGTTTTCTTCTATTACTATACCAAAGGGTTGTTAAACATGAATTTTGTTTCATACAAGAGAGTCAAATTTCTGCCCCCCCCCTCCCCGAAAATAGGTACTTTAAATGTTTATAATTGTCATCCTGTTAGCAAATTATAATGGCTTAAGTTGGATTTGTGCCATTGCAATTCACTGGGAGACATAGCTATGGAGATGTAACTGCATGACACATGAAAGTCTTCCAGTGGATGATCTCAGCCATACATCTCAACTATCTACATTCATCATCTATTGCCTAACTACACCTCTGCATATAAACCATCAAGGACACTGTGGTCTGTGGAGGGGGCCGTGCTCTCAGTCTCACCCCTGTCTCAAGTGCAGTTGGTGGGGACGAGAGAGGGGACCTTCTCCGTGATTGAGCCTTCCCTCTGGAACTCTTTCCCTATGGAAATTAGGACAGCTTTCTCACTCCTTTCCTTCAAGAAGCAATTAAAAACATACCTTTGCACCCTGGCCTTTGGAGAGGAAGATGATTAGTGTTTTATTGCCTTTATTAGGTCTAACAATACTGACAGTGATTTTATTACCTTAACTCATGGGAGAGCCACGTTTTTATATGTGTCCATCTTATACATTTATACAGATTTTATCAGCTTGTGATGTTATTTATGAGGTATTTTATTTGTCGTGTCAGAGCAACCAGTCCATTATATTACATTTCTAACAGAACAAAGCAAACAAACAGAAAAATACAGAACTTGTGAGTTTGGTAGTTGGTTAAATGTCCTTTGACCAGTATCTGGCCACTTGGAGTGCCTCTGGTGTTGCTGCAAGAAGGTCCTCCATTGTGCATGTGGCTGGGCTCAGGTTGCATTGCAGCAGGTGGTCTGTGGTTTGCTCTTCTCCACACTCGCATGTCGTGGATTCCACTTTGTAGCCCCATTTCTGAAGGTTGGCTCTGCATCTCGTGGTGCCAGAGCGCAGTCTGTTCAGCGCCTTCCAAGTCGCCCAGTCTTCTGTGTGCCCAGGAGGGAGTTTCTCATTTGGTATCAGCCATTGGTTGAGGTGCTGGGTTTGAGCCTGCCACTTTTGGACTCTTGCTTGCTGAGGTATTCCAGCAAGTGTCTCTGTAGATCTTAGAAAACTATGTCTAGATTTAAGTCATTGACGTGCTGGCTGATACCCAAACAGGGGATGAGCTGGAGATGTCTCTGCCTTGGTCCTTTCACTATTGGCTGCCACTTCCCGGCGGATGTCAGGTGGTGCAATACCGGCTAAGCAGTGTAATTTCTCCAGTGGTGTAGGGCGCAGACACCCCGTGATAATGCGGCATGTCTCATTAAGAGCCACATCCACTGTTTTAGTGTGGTGAGATGTGTTTCACACTGGGCATGCATACTCAGCAGCAGAGTAGCACAGCGCAAGGGCAGATGTCTTCACTGTATCTGGTTGTGATCCCCAGGTTGTGCCAGTCAGCTTTCGTATGATATTGTTTCTAGCGCCCACTTTTTGCTTGATGTTCAGGCAGTGCTTCTTGTAGGTGAGCACGGTCCAGAGTGACTCCCAGGTATTTGGGTGCGCTGCAATGCTCCAGTGGGATTCCTTCCCAGGTGATCCTCAGAGCTCGGGATGCTTGTCTGTTCTTGAGATGAAAGGCACATGTCTGTGTTTTAGATGGGTTAGGGATCAGCTGGTTTTCCCTGTAGTAGGCAGTAAGAGCACCTAGAGCTTCGGAAAGCTTCTGTTCTACCATCTCAAAGCTCCCTGCTTGAGCAGTAATCGAGAATTTATGAGGTCGATTGACTACATGTTTTAGCCTAGGTGGTTATATTGGTTTATTTTAATTTGTTTAAGCTGTTTATTGGTTTCTGTTTAGCGCAGGTGGCTAAATATCTTTTGACCAGAAATGGGCAACAGCAATGGCATTGTCTGTAGCCTCCAACAATTCTTCCTCTGTACATGAGGCAGGGCATAGTGGACAAGCATACAGACGTGGAGTTGTCTGTTCTGTTCCACAGTCACACAAGGTGTGGGATTCTTTTAGGTAGTGCCATTTTGCGAGATTGTCTTTTGTTCCGCCCACTCCACTTCTGAATCTGTTCAGGGACTTTGAAGTTGCCCATTCTTGGTTTGCCCCTGGAGGAAGACCCTCATGGTGGGCCATCCAGTTGGGGTTTCCAGATTTAGCTGCCCAGAGGGATACCCTTGCTGTTGCTGGGGGGATGCCAAGAGGAGTGGTAGTTCTCATAAAGCTTTTCCTTGATTTGAGTCTACTGGGAGGAGGCTGGTAGCCATGCAGTGGGTGGCTTTCACATTGTTCAACCTTATTTCTCTCACATTTAGCAGCAACTTTCCATTGCACATGAGGGGGTTGGGGGCGCAATGCCAGCTAGCTTGTAGAGTTTATCAACAGGTGTAGGTTTAAGACACCCTGTGATTATTCTGCATGTTTCATTCAATACTATGTTCACCTGCTTTGCATGGGCATACCTATGCCAAACAGAGCAGGCATACTCTGCAGTTGAGTAAGACAAGGCTAGGGTTTGGACTCCCGCATCCAGCATGCCCACTATAGTTTTCAAAATGACTTTTCCAAAATGTTCCTGATGTCCATGTAGGAAGGAAGGAAGGAACTGGGGTGGTAGATTTCCCAGTTCTTTCTGTGTACCTTCAAACCATTATGTGTGTGATGAGCTCCCTGTTTCTGTGACATTACCTAGTGTTACAATATTATTACATTCTCAGCTAGGAATTTCATTCACTTCCTTAAACAAAGGGGGGAAAATCCTAATGAAATAACAGGTTAGAGCTACAAAGCTGTCACCTAACACCTAATTTCCATTATTGGATTCTCTGCTAAGCTTTTATTGACAAGACCAATGGTATCACTTTCTATTGATTACGTGTGCTAAATGAGCAGGAGAGATGTTGAAAAGATGCCAACTAGGCAAATTTGTGAACTTTTATGGTACCTGTGGGGCATTTACCTTCCTAGAGCATGACTGCCATCTTAAGCAGTCAGAATTCTTTCATGCACAAGGCATATTATGCAATTGCTATAGAAACACTGTACTGTCAAGTTATTAAGGGTTTTTTTATTTAAAAAAACTATATCTCAAAGATGTGTCTGTGTCATTCCTCCTTTGAAACAAGGCTGAAATAATTGAAAGCTTATCAAAGTCAATAAAGCTTTGAAATATTCAGATCCACAGGCAAGCCTGACATTTTGAATGCACACATTTTCTCATTTTTCCCATGCGTGACTCAGAGGATTTTCCAGAAACACAATTAGAGCAAGGGAATTGTTGGCCGGGAAGCACAAAATCAATGATGCTTTAAAGCAATGCACTTTGTTAGTCAGGAGTCTGAGCCATGGGCAGCTGCCAGAGATCGCCCAGGGGCCATAAACCAAAAATTGTGCTCATGTCAGCAAGAACTGCCACTGAGAAATCAAACTCAGAAACAGAGTTGAGGAACAGGCCAACACATGCCAGAGCCAGAAAGATTTTTTTTCTCCAAGGCAAGCCTGCCTAAGAGGGCTCAATGAAGCCATTACAGAGATTGAAAATGCTACATTGTCCAAGAAGATTTTCCCAACTGCAGCTCTGGTGACTTTCTATCTGGGGCAAGTCCAGAGCTGGCAGACCTTGCAAGGTTATTGCTTGGACTACACCCAAAATAACTGATATTGCAATGGCAGCTGGTTTCTTGGGAAATGTAGTCCAAAGAAAGCAACTCTTATAAACTGCCACAGATCATGACTGCTGTCCAGATCGCTAATGAAATTGTTGCAACAGTATGGTATCAACCATCACTATATGTAGGATAAATAACAGTAACTGGCTAGACTCTGATTCTATCCCTGCACATTATTTCCCCCATCTTACTTGCTTACTTATGCGATCCCTCGTTTTCCAAGGAGGATTGTCTTCCAGCATTCTTGTGGGTCCGTATGTGGCTGTGGAGCCCTATTCTTGCTCTGTATCTTCTTCCGCAGTGAGGGCACTGGTTTCCAGGTGGAAGGCGGTCTCGGTCAGGGTTGGATTGACACGCCTTCCTCTTGGCATGCTTCTCCCTTTCGCCCTCCATTTGTGCCTCTTCAAATTCTGCAGCGCTGCTGGTCACAGCTGACCTCCAGCTGGAGCGCTCAAGGGCCAGGGCTTCCCAGTTCTCAGTGTCTATGCCAGAGTTTTTAAGGTTGGCTTTGAGCCCATCTTTAAATCTCTTTTCCTGTCCACCAACATTCCGTTTTCCATTCTTGAGTTGAGAGTAGAGTAACTGCTTTGGGAGACGGTGGTCGGGCATCCAGACAATGTGGCCGGTCCAGCGGAGTTGATGGTGGAGGAGCATCACTTCAATGCTGGTGGTCTTTGCTTCTTCCAGCACGCTGACATTTGTCCGCTTGTCTTCCCAAGAGATTTGCAGGATTTTCCAGAGGCAGCGCTGATGGAATCGTTCCAGGAGTTGCATGTGGGGTCTGTAGACAGTCCACGTCTCACAAGCATATAGCAGGGTTGGGACGACAATAGCTCTATAAACAAGCACCTTGGTATCCCTACGGATGTCCCGGTCCTCAAACACTCTCTGCTTCATTCAGAAAAATGCTGCGCTTGCAGAGCTCAGGCGGTGTTGTATTTCGGTGTCGATGTTGACTTTGGTGGAGAGATGACTGCCAAGGTAGCGGAAATGATCAACATTTTCTAATGTTACACCATTAAGCTGTATCGCTGGCATTGGAGAGGGGTTGGCTGGTGTCTGCTGGAACAGCACCTTGGTTTTTTCAATGTTCAATGACAGGCTGAGCTTCTCGTATGCTTCTGCAAGGTGTTTAGAGTGGCTTGTAGATCTTCTTCTGAGTGTGCACAGACAATGTTGTCATCAGCATACTGGAGTTCTATAACAGATGTTGTTGTAACCTTGGTTTTGGCTTCAGTCTGCTGAGGTTGAATAGCTTGCCATCTGTCCAATAGATGATTTCCACTCTGGTGTGAAGCTTCCCATCAACAAGGTGGAGTATCATAGCAATGAAGATGGAGAATAAAGTTGGGCCAGTAATACATCCCTGTTTGACACCGGATTCCACCTTAAATGGGTCACTTTGGGAGCCATTGCTGTCCAAAACTGTTGCCATCATGTCATCATGGAGGAGCCGCAGGATGTACACAAATTTGTTTGGGCACCTGATTTTTTGGAGGATTTCCCCCATCAATATCACTTTGGTTGTAAAGATGCAAGAGGATGAAGAACAGGAAAAGCCAAATGTTTCTCTATGGGGGGCCCTTTCAGTCCAGTCATAGTAAATTTCTACATGGAACACTTTGGAAAACAAGCTCTGGAAACAGCAACAAAAAGCCCACTATATGGTTCAGATATGTGGATGACATCTTCACCATTTGGAGCCACGGAGGAGAAGAACTAAGCAGCTTCCTGGACCATCTTAACAGCATCCACCCAAACATCCAATTCACTATGGAAAAGAAAATGAAGAAAAACTGCCTTTTCTAGATGTCCTAGTCATCCGCAAACCAGATCAACAATTGGGTCACACAGTTTACAGAAAACCCACACACATAGATAGATACCTACATAAAAACTCCAACCATCACCCAAGTCAAAAAAGAAGCACCATTAAAGCCTTGGCAGACCAGGCAAAAAGAATCTGCGAACCCCACCTCCTCCAAGATGAACTGAACCACCTCAACTGGGCTCTAAAGGCCAATGGATACTCCACCTCAGACATCAGAAGAGCTGCAAGACCGAGAACAAGCCATGAGAGTAAAGACAAAGATCCACCCAGAGGAAAAGTGTCCTTGCCCACTTTCAAGGGAACCACTGACCGCATAGTGAAGCTGATGAGGAGACACAACATACAAACTATCTACAGACCCACCAAGAAAATTCAACAAATGCTACATTCAGCAAAGGGCAAGAGGGATCCTCTCACTTCTGCAAGAGTCTACTGTATACTGTGCAGCTGTGGACAAGTCTATATAGGGACACCCAAACACAGCATTGCCCAAACACGAATCAAGGAACATGAAAGGCACTGCAGACTACTTCAACCAGAGAAGTCAGCCATAGCAGAGCACCTGATGAACCAACCTGGACACAGCATAGTATATGAGAACACAGAAATGCTGGACCACTCCAACAACCACCATGTCAGATTACACACAGAAGGCATTGAAATCCATAAGCATGTGGACAATTTCAACAGGAAGGAGGGAACTATGAAAATGAACAAAATCTGGCTACCAGTATTAAAAAAAAGTCTCAAATTATAACAGTAAAACAACACTCAAACACAGGGAAACTCCAGAGAGGAAACAATCAGGGACAGCTAATCACCTCTCAACAAAAGATCCCCCCAGGCACTAACAAGCCACATCAAAAAACTGCCAGGCCATCAAATGCTAATCAAGATGGCCAAATGAAACATTCACACCTAGCTCCAACAGACAATCATCATCATCATCATCATCATCATCATCATCATCATCTTTATTTATATCCCACCACCATCTCCCCCAACAGGGACTCGGGGCGGCTTACATGAGGCCAAGCCCGAACAACAGATTACAATAAAATAAGATACAAATTGCAATAAAATAAACAACATAGCATTAAAGTATAAAACATATAAGTATATAAACAATATACACAAAACATAAAGAGGAAAAAAAGCTGTAAACCAAACATAACAACAGTGAATGGGCCGCATGTACATTAAATGATTTAAAAACTCAGGGTGAGATAAAGGAACAGATTTATTTGTAAGGGAGAACTCATGAAGAGACAGGGAAATGAACAACCTTCGTACAAGGGGTGGTGTACTCCTAGGACAAGAATGTTGAGGGAGCAATAGCATAAGATTATGACAAGAGCTCTTTCTCCCACCCTGGACATTCCACAGATATATAAACCCAAATTTCCTAGTTCCAACAGACCTCACAACCTCTGAGGATGCTTGCCATAGATGCAGGCGAAACGTCAGGAGAGAATGCTTCTAGAACATGGCCACATAGCCCAAAAAACCTACAACAACCCAGTGATTCCATCCATGGAAACCTTCGACAATACATTTCTTTAGTTTGTTCTCTTTCACCCAATCTCAACATGCTTTGAGTTGGAATTTCATTGAATGTGGGGCTGACCATATTTACTCAATTCCGATCAGGGCCGTAGCCAGAAAAAGATTTCGGGGAGGGTTGACAATTTCGGGGGGGGGGGTTGAAACCTGCCTCCTAGCTCATGCTGAAGCCAAGAGCACAGCAGGGAGCAGAGCAACCTTCAATAGCCTGCAGCTCTGCCCCTGTCAACCACCTCCACCAAGTCTGGCCTCCTTAATGAGAGCATTCAACACACACAGACCCAACTTGGTTGCTTCACTACATCGGCTATTGCTGCAAGCAATGACAGTGTGAATAAATTGTCAATATTTGCTTGAGATAGTGCTTACAGTTCTCATTGACTTAGCATGGGGGTTTGGTTAACCAGTTAAAATTCATGAGTAAACCAGGTTTTTTTTAAAAAAATCTGAAACATTTCGGGGGGGGGGTTGAACCCCCTAAAACCACCCCCTCGCTACAGGCCTGATTCTGATGCTCATTTTTTTTTACTAAACTACCTCCCCAAAATTAGGGGAGATAGTTTAGATTAACATAATATGGTAAAATACTTTTTGGGATTTCAGAGTTTTGAAAATTGAGGTGAGCATTAGATTTGATGGAGTATTAGACTCAAGTAAATATGAGTATCTCTTTTCCAAAGAGGAACTTGGAATAGATAAAATTATGAACTTCTTATCTTGTCTCCTTCTGAGATGGGAACAACTGAACATGAAGTCCTAGTGTTATTATGGTAAACTGTGAAGTGTTTACATTCATCTATGACCTCATCAGATGGGGCTGAATTCAGCAGCGTATGCCAGTTCCCCTTCCATTTTGCCACAGAGCCCACCAGTTCCCATATCACAATGCGCATCTACTTCCAGTGGGGCTCCGTGGTAAAAAAGATGGAGAACGAGCTTCTCATGTTGCATAGAGATCAACGAGAGGAAGCTGGGTGGTGGATGCTTCCTCCCATGAGATGAGGTAAGGGGGAAGCCGGGCGGTGTAGAGCATGGGGTGACGGCTTCTCCATGCCCCCCAGAGTCACCACCGAATTCACCATGATGCATGGCTATTCCAGCGGCAAATGGGATGGGGTCTTAAGACATCGTATAGCTTTCCAGTAATTACTGGGGTTGAAAACTACAAACAACAATGTCGATACGTATCAACATTTCTAACTATTTTCATCTCCACCTGAAATGTCTTCTTTAATGAAATCTAGCAGTCAATTCAATACCAAGTCACTCCAAAATATTTTTGATTACCAAACGAATGGATCTGACCTATTGATTGTTAGTTTTCCCCGAGCAACTATGAACATTGAAGCTAAGTTTACAATGAATAGGAAAAGTCTTCAGTGGTAGGTCAAGTGGCAAAGGATGTCCTCATCCCTACCAATCAAAAACTCTTGGCAATTTGACTCTTTAAGCATTACATAATGTCCTATACAAGTGAAGGTCAATATGAATATGATTCAAGCATTCAATGGAGTCACATAAACCCTACCCCAGAACACTTGCTCCAAAGTCACTTACTGGGAATGTATGGAGGGTAGTTGAGATTGTTGTGAGCACAGGCTGGGTACTGGCCATTTAGAAAATTTGATGGTTCATTCATATCCTAAGCGTGATAAAAGAAAAAGAGAAGTGATGCATTTTTCAAAGGAGTTGTTTTATGAACACAAAATTATAGAAGTCATTGATAAAATAAAAGTTTTAAAAGGAGACAAAATAAAACATACAATCCAAATTCCATCATAAGGAAGGACGTTGTGAAACTCAGCACACATATAGGTCCACCAGTCAGCTGTTTGGGGGTTGAGATAGTCAGGATACACTGATTCTCCTGGAGGCAAGGCCTGGAAATGAGAGTGAGGTAGATTTGATTAATTTAAGAGAAAAATGGGCAACTGTGTAGCAACCAGGGACCAAATTCCCCCTTCAAATCTTCCAAGGGCCACACCACTGAGCATTTCAAAATGCCTCTTTTTTCAGATTTCCTCCTTAAATGGCAACTGGAGGTGTTATTGTATCACTTCTTGACAGGGGCAGTTGAAGCAATAGGCAAGATACACATTTGCATATAGCGCGAATCCCCAAGGGGTGCTCTTCAGGCGTCTATGGCATACAAAAAGGGTCCCCCTTGGCCTCTCCAAAGGCGGTGTGTAAAAGGCGCACAGTGAAGGCGCATCAAAAGGGGGCTTTTTCCTCCCTCCTTTGTTTTCCCCACCCAGATCTTCCCCCACCCTTATGTAAAGGGGACCCTTTTGTATGGATCCCCCCCCCCCCCCCCGCTGGGTGCTGAGCATCTTTTCCAACTTCTGGAGCCAGTTGTGCCAAACCAAGGCATGGATGGGGAAGTGGCTCTATGTGGAGGATGGGATTGGGAGGCCTGGAGGGGAAGGGGAGCCTCCTTCCTCCACGCCAACATCACGGCTTCCCCAGCGACGGGGCAAGGTCGAGGAGGGGGCTGCAGACACATGGACACCTCCAGGAGGAAGAGGAGGAAGGAAGGAAGGAAAGAAAGAGGGAAGGAAGGAAAGAAGGAAGGAAGGAAGGAAGGAAGGAAGGAAGGAAGGAAGGAGGAGGCGAATTCCACAATGCACCCTGCCTGCGCACCCTGATAGAGCAGCCCAAGATGCAAAGAGGGGAACCCCCCCTTTTCTCTCTCTCTCTCTTTGGCACAAACACGCACACAATGCAGGCTCCAAAGGGGGAGGAGGAGGCCCCAGCAGCAGTGGGGCATAATGGGTGTTGTAGTCCCTCCCAAGCAGAAGGGAGGAAGGAGGAAAATAAAGAGACAGGAAGGCTATCAATCTCTAAAGCATCCCTGACTCCTTTCCTCCATCTCTCTACAACAAGGCTTGGAGTGAAGAGGGGCATTTAGTCCCAAGCCCACCCCCTTGGAAAGGAAACACAGTGGGAGGGAACCCTAAAGGGCATCATGTCTGGCCCGCTTCATTCACATCCAAGCTTTGGTGGCGATGGATGAAAGGAAGGAAGGAAGGAAGGAAGGAAGGAAGGAAGGAAGGAAAGAAAGAAAGAAAGCGGAAGGCTCTCCATCTCTGGAGCACCCCTGACTTTTCCATCTCTCTGCAAAAAGGCTTGGAGTGAAAGGGGGCAATTAGTCCCAAGCCCACCCACCTCCCTAAAAAAAGTTAATTTGTGTTAATTCCATGTAATGTAACTACCGCATATTCTGGGGTACTAGACGACTTTTAAGGAATGTAAAACCTTATAAAATTTTGGGGGTCATGAAGTATGCCGGGTATAAAATTAAAATAATAATAAAATTACATACTATGACTGCCTTGGCCTTGGGCTCCCCTCCTCCTCCTCCTAGGCTCATGGCGGCCTCCCAAGCAGGCTCCCCATCCTTCCTCCCTTCCTGGCTGCCTTCCCTGCTCAGGTCCAGGCCTCTCCTTTGTTGGCAGCCGGGCCCCTGGGCTGCTTCCCGTGCTGCTCAGGCCGCTCTCCTCCTTCCTGGCCAGGCCTTGCGAGAAGCGGCTCTTCTCCAATGAGACAACATTGTCTCGTGGGAGAAGAGGCGCTTTGCGTGAGGCCTGGCCAGAAAGGAGGAGAGCATCCTGAGCAGCGCTGGAGGCCCTTCTAGAGGTGGCACAGGAAGCAGCCCAGAGGCCCAAGGACAGAAACCACCTGGCTGGTTTGGGGAGTTGTCTTAAACGGCGAATATATCCCCAACTCTCTATTTTGTAGGTAAAAGTTGGGGGATCATCTTATAGCCCCAGTCGTGTAGTGTAGGGATTATGTGAGATCGAATCTCTTCTTGATTTTTTTGTAGTGTTTGGAGGGTTGCAATCAGAAGAATGCAGTTGCCTTCTAGGCACCCACCTTGCCAACGGCTGCTGTCACTCCATCCGAATTATTCACCCAGAGTCCCAATTGTTGTCCAAGTTCATATGGCTGGTAACTCCCTCTAGACTGATCTTTACTTAGGAAAGGATCCTGAAGAGAAAACAATAGAAAAATAAACAACAGGGAAGAAAAATTATATGAGTCTCCATCTGTTTTGCAAGACAGTCCAATAAATGGAAGATTCTGTGTAAAAATGTGTTTGGCATTTCTTGTTATTTTTCTGGTGCAGTGCATTAATCACTGCTTGCTAATATAAGATTGGTGTTCACAATATGCTATTAATGTGTTGCTGCAAAGCTACACAATTGTTGCTACTATTATCATTATAAACAAAGACATACTTTAAAATAGCTCTAAATGGCAAAATCCCATTAAATCTAATATGTTAAAAGTCACGAATAATCACTACTTAAAAAAATTCTATTGTGTTCCTAGTTGTTAACATTATTTATGTTCTCATCACCTTTTCCCCCTCAAGCAATGTGTTTCAGGTACTTCTAGAAGCCAATCATTTCAACATGGTACTTAACAATTCTGAAATAATCGGAGATCACTATTAATAGGAAGTGAAATGGGGCCATGGTTTGTGCATGACGACAGCCATTTCAGACCTACTTATTTTCCAATACAAACTTCTTTTCTCAAATTGTGATCGGAGGTGACCCCCCCCCCCCCCCGGACTCTGTAAAAGATAGTTCAAAATCAGGGAATTCATAGTTTTGCCAAGGACACCAGGCTGGAATGATCCCATAATCCCCTATCTCTCCCCCATGTGGGAACCTAAGGCTTCTTCCATGGCACCATGGCCCCACATGGCAACACCCCTGTAACCCAAACTAGCATCTGACCAATTTGGCTATTATTTATTAATTGGATCCCTTTTTATATGAAGGAAACTCCTGTTTTATGAATGGACTCCGGCTACTCAGTGCTCCTAGGGCCTCCTATACACCCCCATGAACTCTTATGGACTTTCCATGAACTTTTTAGGAACTTTTATCAACTTTTGAGGACTTTTAGAACTCTTATGAACTATGAACTTTGGACTTTGGGACAAGGGGGGGGGGTGCTGACATGATTTCCCCTTAGACCTTGCATGATTTCCCCTTATGAATTCATTGTATGTTCCCTTGCCCATTCCCACCCCTTTTATGTATGTGTTTTGCCACTGTTTTTGTAAATTCAGCAACCCTCCACACTTCCTGAGTTGATAATCCCCTAACAAAGGATTTCACCAGGCTCACTTGCATGAACAATAGACTATCTCACTACCTCTGAGGATGCTTGCCATAGATGCAGGCAAAACATCAGGAGAAAATGCCTCTAGAACATGGCCATATAGCCCGGAAAAACCTACAACAACCCAATAGATAAACGACTCTTATCAGACTAGACCTCAGAGGGCAAAGCCAGGCCATCTGGGATGATAGGATCTATAGACATTTAAATCACTCAACACAAAGGGTATCTTCCTATCTGCGAAGAACCAGGAATTTCACCACAGCTTCTCCTGACCAGCCAAAACTAACTTCAGCTTCATAAATGAACCCCATATCCCAGGACTGTAAAACAAAAGACAAAGATGATGATTCAAAGGACTAACACATTAACTCGGATCTGATTTGAAGGCCTAGGCTATCATTGGGTCATTGGACAAACATTGGTTACCTTAATCCAGTCAACTAGACATGTCTTCATTGTTTCCCTGTTACCTGCCTCCCTTTTCCTGCTAGCCTGCTGATGTCACAGCCAATCATAACAAAGCCAGCTCAGGCAGGGTGGTCATGGGAACTTTTGAATCTGAAGACTATATTTTGTATTTTTCTGCCCAGTGGGCATGTCGATTTATTGGCAGGCTACTGCAATCATCATCCTTCCCAGTTGGAATGAAAAAAAAAAACCTCGGTGGCTTTCTCGTTAACTTGGTGAGATTATTCTGGAATACTGGCTTCTTTTTTCACCAGGCAACCCACAATGGCTTGGATCTCTCTATCCACTGCCACTCTAAATTGCTCGGCAACAAAATTCCTCCTCCTCGTTTACCAGAGAATTGAACAGCTCTTTATCTGGGGAAGGATGCTTCTGGCGACCTAATCAGACAGAGTAAATTTTGTAGCAACACTAGTTCCACTTTAGTTTTGCAATGGATCCCGCTGGCTCCCATCCCACGTACAGCTATTTCCGTGAGACCAGCAACATGGGAGGCTTCCCGTGTTACATTGGGATCTATGGAGGGAAAGCCAGGAGCCAGACACTTCCCCCCATGGGATGAGTTAGGGAGAAGGCTGGGCAATGCGGGACATGGGGTGATGGGTTCCCCCACTGGGCACCACCGGATTTCCCACAATGCGTGGCGATTCCGGCAGCACATATGATGAGGTCTTGGGCCAACAGCTTATTAAATCCACCTACAAAATATTACTCATTGTCTAATTAGAAAGCTTTCCTGCTCAGGCAGTTTGCTCTCTCCATCCAAAGGTGAGATAGATTTGAAGGTTCTTCATGAACAGTTTTGTCCTATTTGCTATTGTATGTATCCTTTTAAAAATAATTTTTGGTTGATACATATTGTCTTGTAGCAACTCATCTATAGTAACTGGGCCACATAAAATTTCTACACTGCTGGTTGACAGTCATCCTACTAAAATGCTATACTACTAGGACAATTCAGAAAGTGTAGGAGAGGGAGACTACACAACTTTGTCCTCCAACACATGGAACATCAGAGGAATGGCTTAGGTGGAAAAGTTGGATGTGGGCTGCCACTGTTACCCATAACTGGCCAATGGGGCAATTACTTCATTCTATCTAGTAGTAGAGTCAGCCCTCCTCTGATCCTGACCACTTCTCCAAATAGTATTTTAGGGCACCACCTTGTATTAGCACTGTGCTGTCACACACTGGGCCTATAGCAATTGGCTTTTGAACAGGACGTGCTCTTTGTTCCCAGCGGGAAGCCGGGGTGCCTTGAGTGAGAGGCCCTAAGGATTTTCCTATACAGAGTCTTTAAAAGCTTGAAAAGTTTAACAAAGTCCTTTATTATTGCTTAAGTCTTCAACAAATTAAACAAATGCTTCTCAGATCTTCAACAGGTCAAACAAATACTTCAAGGCTTTGAATCAACTGGTGGCTTTCTTAATCTTGTCCACAAGGGACAGGCAACTGGCTTCGTGAACTGTTTCTTTTCTTTAAGAGGAAAACCCTTTTTAACCCCTCCTTGGGCAATCTACTTTCTAAACTTTGCTGGTGTGGGCTCTACTCCCGGCTCCAAACTGCTTCTTGGGTCCCGAGTAGACCTACCAGTCAAGGCTTTGTAGATTCTCCAGCTGGAGTCCTTTGGAACTGTTTCCCCCCGGAATTTTGTAAGAAACGAAGCTTCTCTACAGGTGAAGCTGATTCACGTCCTGTAGCTAAGCTTTCAACTGTAAGACTGAGCTAAAATGGCTCCCTTTCCTTCCTGAACCCTGGGGAAAGGGGCGGAACTAAAAAACCCAACAATGATAGGCAGGTGGCTGCAAACCAAGGGAAGCCACCTTATTGCAAAATGCATGGAACTTTGGAATACATGCAAATACTCAAAGAAAGAAAAGGAAGTTGGAGCTCCTGGTACAGCCGTACCAGCACAAGCACCATGTCTATACATGTGATGTTTCCGCTACCGCAAGCCCTGCTAAATGTATCAGTTCTAATGGTGGGTCATAGAACTGAAGTCATTTCACTCTTTTCCTAATAACTACATAGCCACTTAATTTGTTACAAAATTCATTTTGACCTTTGAAAATAACCTAGTTCTTTTTATCGCACTACTTTGTCTCGAGCAAGCTGCATAACATTTTTAAATGTTTAAGAAAGCCCCTTTGCACCTTCACACTTAACGGTATTATAAACATTCAGCAGATACTGACATATTACGTTAATTCCTTACCTAGTTCTCTTTTTAAAAGCTACCCTTTGATGGCAATTTCCAGTGGACACCTCTAGACTAAAACATTTAATCAGCCCAGAGGATTATTGTTGCACATGAATGCAACACATGCCGCAACCCTGGCTTCCTCCCAAGAAGAACGATGTGGATTTTGCATTCCAATCAAATTCTACCTATTTTTCACATTTTTTTCTCACCTGCTGCTTTTGGGAACAAGGGGCACATGGGAGACTGACATAATAGCCCAGAATATGGCTGGAGAATACAGCAAAATGATGTCTTTTAAAAGGTCTTATTGTATGTACTTTTTAATTCTGTTTTAAATGTGGTTTAAAACAGAGTTAAACCACATTAAATCACTACTGACCAAGAGGTCATGAGTTCAAAGCCAGGCCAGGTCGGAGTGAGCTTCCAGCCATTAGTCTAGCTTGCTGTCAACCTATGCAGCCCGAAAGACAGTTTCATCTTTCAAGTAGGAAATTTAGGTACCGCTTTATGTTGAGAGGCTAATTCAACTAATTTATGACACTATAAAACTCTCTATCAGCGTGCAGAAGAATGAGGAAATACTCCATCAAAGGACTCGGTGTCACAATTGATGGTGAAGAAGCAGCTTTCCCTGTGGCTGGAATCAAGCCGGAATTGAGCATACCCTCATGTAGCTGGAAAAGCTTGGGCACAGCTGGAATGTTAAATTTCCTCTGTATATGTCTATATATGTTTTATGTCTAACTGGCGTTGAATGTTTGCCATATATATGTGCATTGTAATCCGCCCTGAGTCCCCTGCAGGGTGAGAAGGGTGGAATATAAACACTGTAAATAAATTAATAAATAAGTGTATATTGTTAAGGTATCAAATGGCTGCCTGGTTGTAAGCCACCCTGAGTCATCTTCAGGTTCGAGAAAGGCAGGATAGAAATATAATAAATAAATAAATAAATAAATAGTTCTGCAGCTAAAAATAAGTGGAAATTGCCCTGCATATATATCACTAAGGAGATATTATTTTAGGAGAGAGGACCAGAACTTGGAAAAAAATGTTTTTGGGATCATGTAGTTTCCAGATTCCACCTGAATAATGATCACTAGCTGTGTTTGCTGATGGAATTGGAGAGTTGTACTGTAATAAAGAATTTTTCCAAGGACTGCTATGCAGTATGTTT